CATGTATACCCATAGTAATTTTTATAAAAATAGATGGTTTTCCATACGTACCTTCCAAAAGCTGATGATCCCTTAAAGCTTCTGCTGTTAAAACAGTCTTCCCACAACCTGCCATTCCATAAACTGTGACCCAGCCTGGATCACTTCCCAAGCAGCACAGTTTCTGTTTAATAGCATCTACCAGTTTTGGACGAGTGACAAACACAACTGGTCTCTGTGGTACACCTCCTTCGCAGAGAATTGTCTTAACTGAAGTTAAAAACAAGAAACATGAAAGTAAAGAGTAATTTCTAAATGTGATGCCTCTTCAAACCAAACCAAACAACTCCTCACCTCAAATAACTAGTGGGCTCCCTGCCCACTTCACGTCCCATACAAACGCTCTTAAAAATACTGGACTCGCAACCCCAAATATTGAAAAAATACTGAATCTTTAAATAAATTATTGAACAGGTAACTAGCCTTCCACCTACAATAGTGTTCCAATTTATAAATATATATGAGGGAAGCTAGCTACATCAGTCCCTAGAATGAAAAGATAATTAACAGCTCCAGTAGAACCTGTGGCAAACAGAGGAGCTCAACATCATTGTTCCCAGCTATCAAGTCACTTTCTCAGCCAGAAGCTACCGCCCCATGGACGCAACAGAAAAGAAAGCATGCTGTGTAAGGCTTCTCCTTTGTAGTTAACAGCACAGCATTGTGTTCTAAAACAGGACTTCCTTTGATTTAAACTACGATAGATAGCATGACTTGCAATAGAGCAGATAAAACATAACATGAAAGGAAATGTGCACTTTACCTGTCCACTGCTGGCCACAAAGTGGCCATATGCAGTGCCATATTATACTGATAAACTCTGGGAAATCTTACTCAGGTAATCAAAATACCACATGCCTACGACACTTAAAATGTAGAGTGCCAGTAAATATGGCAATTAGTCATATGCAGTTAGAAGGTTCTTCCCATTAGAAACTACCAATTTATTTCATGTCAGTCAAAGATGATATTGATGACAATGTAGGTAAAAGTTAGGAACTTATGTAAGGTAACTAAAAGATCTAGTGGAGAGAATCAGGCAACCTAATAACTAGATCAACTACTGGAATGTAGGCTGAAAGATTACAGATTACTCTAAAATACACGTCAGAATTTTGGAGGCTACAACTTTTTATGTTAGATTCAACTTCTTTATATATACACATAAGAGTCTTTCACGTATAACAAAAATGCTACAATTTAGAGAAAACTGTGAGAGCTTCAGGTTTCCCATCTTTAAAATAAACATTACCTAATATGAACACTTTCAAGATGATCCACAAAACTCATAATTGTTGCAACTGTCCTGTAATATTAAATATATGAAATATCAAAATACTGACTACTACACTACCAAAACAAGTGAATGCACCAACTACTCCTTTTTAATTTGAACAGGTATTACAGACAGTCACTTAGTAAGGAAAAAAAAGGCAACTTGTCTTTACTTTCAAGCACAAGGATTGCTGTAGCTACACTGACCGTATGAAGTCATTCCATCCATTGAACTCTTCCTGTTACCAGAGGAGATGGCAGGGATACCATCCTGAAGAAGCGCTGCAAGGTCTCTGTACCCTTCGTGGAGTAGTGCATTATAAAATGATCTATATGAATTATTATCTTTTGTAAGAATAATGTTTATTAGCATAGCTGCTCGCTCCTTCTGTGTATTCTAGAGAAAACATTAAAAGACATGTTATACAAAACTTACTTACAAATCATCTAATCTATCACTCTGTCAATTATAGGCTGTTTATAATTACAGAAATAGCCTTCAACTTGACCAAGCCCTTAACTCAATCTGATGAAGTGCAATAAAAGCTGCATGCTAGGCATACACTTAAGAATTTGCTGAATCCAGGACAGAGATACACAGAAATTACTATTTTTAAAAAAGATGATAAAACATGAGAGTAGACTAGGAAGGTAAGTAATGATTAGATGATTCTACCTGTTGTTTCACTCTCTCCTCCTCCTGTAATGTTAGTACTTCATCAGAAATCATACGATCCATAATATAAGAGGTCTTGATGTCTTTTTCCAATGCTTGGCGATGCCTAAGTAAATAGTTTCTACTCTTGACATCCATATTTCTTCAGTGTGAAAAAGAGGGTGGGGGGAAAGAAAAGTCAAGTCTGAATTAGAACATAATTTAAATGTACAGGGAAAAAAGTTTTAAAATAACTTAAGAAGGCCAAGAGTCTGAGGGGAGAAGCCCATGCTGTTGTAGTTTGGCACTGGGAGGACTGCAACATGAAGCAGGGACCCACTCTGGAGCAGCTCAGGAAGAGTTTGCATCCTGTGGGAAGGACTCACAACGGAGAATGTTCATGGAGGACTGTCTGCAGCGAGAGGGACACCACAAAGGAGCAAGGGAGAATGTGAGGAGTCCTCCACCTGAGGAGGAAGGAGTGATGGGACTGATTGTACCCCCACCCCCCTGCACCGCTGCACGGGAAGAGGTGGAGAAATCAGAAGCAGATCTGAGCGAGGGAAGAAGAGAGGGGTGGTGGTAGTGTAGAAGGTGTTTTTAAGATGTGGTAATGCTTCTCACTGTCCCACTCTGTCAAGTGTTGTTAGTGTTTGAATTAAATTGATGCCCATTTTCTTCCCCTAAGGGTCTGTCTTTTGCCCCTGACCATAACGGGCGAGTCATCCTTCTCTATCCTTATCTCAATTCCGGAGCCTTTGACTTTATTCTCCCCTTCCCATTCCTGAGGGGAAGGGGTGAGCAAGAGGCTGTGTGGTGCTCAGTTGCCCTCTGGGCTCTAAGCACAAAAACAGTTAAGTTCTAATAGTTCATAAGCTACTGTGAATATGAACAATATTCTTGAAATATTGTTTAGATGCCATATGTAATTATGTTTAATAAAAACATCCAGCTGAGCATTATCATAATTAATCTGACTACAGTATTTCTCAGATTGCTCCACTTGGAGGCATATAAAGAAGGTATAAAAAGAATTTAAATATTTAACAATTAACTAGACTCGTAGTAAAATTTTTGTGCTGAATATGTGAATGGAAGTTTTCATTAAAACTGCTAATATGTATTGCTATTTCTGAAAAAAGGACCCTTTTCCACATTTCTATGAATTTATGAACACTTGCAGAACTAAAGAATCACAGTTTGGGCAAGCTTCTTATATACTAGGAACTTGCTAAATGTCTCTAAGAAAAGGTCTTCTCCCTGCCCACTTCATAACTCAATTTTTTTAAGTCATTGGATCATGTGATTGGGACAACAGGATGAGAACGAGGACTATTTTCACGGCTGACAGCACTGGGCAGAACTACAACAGAAAAATATAACCCCTGTGTGCCAAACCCCATGAGATAAACTCAACGTTGTCTCCACGTTCAGGACTCCATACAACTACAGTCAGATCTCGACACATGACGGAAGATGGAGCACCCGGCACTGCCAATGACTGAGCTGTACCCTCCTTTGTCAGCACCTGGTACACAAGTGGAAACTTGCGTTCTTTCTCTACGCCATTAAAAAAAAAAAAAAAAAAAAAAAAAAGAGCCTGAAGACAACCGAAAGTGAAAGCTACTGTCTACTATGTAAAGGTTTTCAAGTGTTGACCAACTGCCCCTGAGGGTCCCAACCGATCAGGGTGATCTCTCCGACTGCACTCCTGCGCAACGACAGGGGCTCCGCTGGCTGCTGCAAGCTCCTCCGCAGAGCCGCTCCGCAGCCGCCTGCGGAAGCGTTCGCACCTTTCCCCTCCCTCCTTCCTTCCTTCTTCCCTTCCCTCCTTCCTTCCTTCCTTCTTCCCTTCCCTCCTTCCTTCCTTCCTTCTTCCCTTCCCTCCTTCCTTCCTTCTTCCCTTCCTTCCTTCTTCCCTTCCCTCCTTCCTTCCTTCCTTCCTTCCTTCTTCCCTTCCCTCCTTCCTTCCTTCCTTCCTTCTTCCCTTCCCTCCTTCCTTCTTCCCTTCCCTCCTTCCTTCCTTCTTCCCTTCCCTCCTTCCTTCCTTCCTTCCTTCTTCCCTTCCCTCCTTCCTTCCTTCCTTCTTCCCTTCCCTCCTTCCTTCCTTCCTTCTTCCCTTCCCTCCTTCCTTCCTTCTTCCCTTCCCTCCTTCCTTCCTTCCTTCTTCCCTTCCCTCCTTCCTTCCTTCCTTCTTCCCTTCCCTCCTTCCTTCCTTCTTCCCTTCCCTCCTTCCTTCCTTCTTTCCCTCCCTCCCTCCGCAGCCGGGCACAGGCAGGACAGCTGCCCGCGATGGAGCGCCTCTTCCGCCGTCCTGACAGAATTTCCTATTTTCACTGAAAATTATGTGGTTAGGAAAGTCTGCCACCCTACCTTTACCCCACCGTGCCGCTGAGGAAAGGGGACGTGAAAGCTCCTCAGCACGAAAAAAACGTCCAGGTAAAAAAAAAAAAAAAAAAAAAAAAAAAAAAAAAACCAAACCAAAACCAATCTACACGTGAAGCAAATAACACAGGAAAGCACCCCACAAACACACAACACAAAGGGTTACCTCACACCCTGACGCGCCCCACCGGAGCCGCCGTTAACAACCGCAGGGAGAACGAAACAGAAACCGAAGCGCTCCGAGCAGCCGCCGGCCGCCGCCCCGGGGGCTCTGCCCGGCCGCCTCCGCCGCCTCCCCCCGCCCGAGGTGGGGAGACGAGCCGCCTCCGGGGCGGACAGCTCCGGAGCCGCGGGCTGGGTTCAGCCTAAGGGGCGCCGCGGCGAAACCGCCCAGAAACGGCCCTTCCTCGCCCCGTCCCGTCCCGTCCCGTCCCGCCACCGCCGCTCACCTGGCGGGCAGCGCCGGGCCCTCAGAAGCCGCCGGCAACAAGCTCTCGCCTCGCCTGGAGGAGCCGGTCGCCCCCCGGCCCCGGGGAAGCGGCGCGGCGGGAGCGCTTCCTCCTTCCGGGCCCGGGGGTGGGAGAAGGGCCGGGCCCGCCCCGGCAGCGGCCCAGCCCCCGCCCGCCCTGCTCGGAACAAAGCCCGGCGCTCCCGCGCCGGCGCAGAGCCGCCTGCCTCAGCGGAGGTGTCCCTGACGTGGCGTGGGGTGCTCGTGCCGTGGGCTGAGGGAGCGGCGGCAGCCGGAGGTGGGGCTGCGGGGCGTGCAAACGTGGTCACGGCGGGGCAAGGACGGGCCCTCCCCGCCCTGCGGGGGAGAGGCGGCCCGAAGCGCCGGGGGCCGCGGCAGGGTGTCCCCGGGGCTGGGTGTCACCGCAGGCCTGGGCTGGGGCGGGTCGCGGGGAGCCCCGCGGGTGGGGAGGTGCCCCGGAGGGGAGGGGGCGGGCGGGCGGTTGGTTTCGGGGGGCGAGGGGGCGTCTCTGAGGGGCTGCGCTCTGGAGCTTCCCGTCCGAAGCTCAGTTGTTCCTGTATTAAACCGTTTCCCTAACCACCGTTTAGGTCTCTTTATGATTATTAATTTAACTGCATAATACGTGCTCACGATACCAAAGGTGTTTTAACAGTTACAAAATAGCAGTTTTGCTGTTTTGCTGGTCTGGAGAGCAAGAGGTGTTTTTTTCTTACATACCTCAAACTCAGAGCATGATTCCTAATACTGTCACTCGCAATCAGCTCTAAGCATCGTGCTCTTAAGACAGATTTTTAAACGATGCGTTTTAAGCTATGTAAGTATCTATAATATTTGAATATTTATATTTTCACGTGTGACTGTCAGTACTGCAAAATGATTCAGAAAACAGCACAACGTTTTTGTCTCAAATTGTGCTAAACTGAATCCACCAAGAATCTAGTCTATTTTGAGCAGTTTGGTGGAAGATTTTAGGCTTAAAAATTCTACTCCGTACTTCTACTTTGTTGGTTAGAATATGAGCTTTTGTACTTTTTGAAACTGGAGAACTGCATTGCCTGAATCTGTGTGGACCTTAGATTTAGCAGAGGCAATTGTAGCTTTTATTTTAGCTAGATGCAATTATTTCATTAATCTTATGTATTTTTCTATTAATGGCTTTCTATTAACTGATGTCAGTGGTTTTGCAGATGACCTGTAATCATTGCAGTAGAATTACTTCTAAATTAAAGCTTAATTTGCAATCTCATTTTAAAAAATGATAAATTTGCCCCTTTCATGTGGTGTAGGTGTTTGTTTTTTTCTTTAATCCACAAGTAAGATAGTGAAATTGGTGATGAAATTGTGACAGTAATCAACTATAAAAAGAAATATGCTCTCAGTCCCTGTGATTTTAAATATATCTTCAAAATGGCTTATTGTGCAACAAATGAAATATTTCTGGAAAGGTTAAATTAGCTAAAGTTTGAAAAGTCAGCTCAGTTTGAGAGAATATGAAAACAGTGCTCTATTATATAGAAAACAAATTTTCACAAAGTCTAATGAAAGTATTATGACACTTTACAAAAGTTCACATAACTAAAAAGCATAAACATTTTGGGGGGTGTATTTGTAACTAAAGGGCAAAAGGTTGTATTTGAGGATGTTTAGAAGGAACTAGTCCTTTTTATTGTGTGGTATTTCTGTTTTTTCCTAGATTTCTCTTCCTTCTGCTTTTTAAAAACACAAAATGTCTCAAGTTAGGCAGAGGAGAAAAGGGATTTCTTCATCCAAGACCAGTGATGGTTCACAGAAGGTTGAGAAGCACAGTGACTGTGGGACGTTGGTAAGTCCCAAGACCAACAATAACTGGACTTCCTTTTGGATGGACTCGCGGACGAGCTTCAGCATAATTTCCCTTTCTGTTTGCCTAGTGCTGAGCTGGTAGGTAATCCTTTAAAATGGATTTTAATATTTTCGTTTGTATTCTATACTGTGTTCAGTCACAGGTAATATGTCAGTTACATTTGAATGTAGTGTTTAGGTTAAGTGACTATAGAAACTTGTTAAAGCTAGAAGGATGAAGAAGAGAATAGCAGTATTCACCAGTGTAGAAGCACTGGTATAGAGTGAGGAATTATAGAAGCTCGATCTGTTCCATCATGTTGAAAGTTTAAAAGGTGCCTTGCTCATGAATTGTAAATACCTGCTTTGGAGACTACATCTAACTGTGAAGAGCAACTTAATCTGACAATAAGTACAACAGGGCTCATTTGGCAGGTAATACATAATTAAGCAGTAAAGTGGTGGTTTCTGTAAATAATTTTCTCAGCAGTGTGGTAAATTGTTCATCAGGCGGAGTTTTCAAGTAAAGGTCAAATATCTTCGTAAAAGATGTTTTAGAATATCTTAGCAGCATCAGTACCTTAGTTCCATCAGAAACTGAGCTTCATGCCGAAATGATATGATAAAATTCTGAGAACTCTAGTGCAAGAAATTAGTGCAAATTTTTACACTCTAGATATCAGTCTGAAAGCTAAGGTAAAATTTGTTCTTATTTTAACCCAGATTTCGCTATCTAAATTTTTGAGAAATAGAATGACATAGAAGGATAAAATGATTAGTGATGCTTCTGCTTACTGCTTTATGTATATCTATCTATGTCTGTTTTGCATTTATCTACCTCCAGTTAGCATTTTAGCTTTTCTTGACTAACTTAATCTGTATGGAATATTGTAGTCCTTTTGAAACTTCTAACTGCTATTCAGTATACTTAATAAACATAAATTTATTAAAGTACATGTATTTTAAACTCTATTGTTCTAGATATAATTGTTCTTACTACCAAGAGGACTCCTGCATAGTCTACAATATACTTCGTTTTGTGATTAATAAACATCCAGCAAAATTCAGGGTTTTTTTTCCTTTTCAACTGGACAGAGTGCTTGCAGTTTATAAAGCTCTCAAGTTCACAGTAAATTACTCTAGAATGTATATAAAGTACAGGATTGAGAACTATACTGTCTGTTCAAAACCAGCAGCATCATAACAGTAGCTATACAAGCTTTGCACCATATGTTCCTGGATGGTTAAAATTAAACAGTATTAGAGTTAACCAGCCTTTCTAAATCCAAACGTTTCTATGCATGATTTTGTGGTACTTTGCAAGAAAGTCTAAATTATTTTTTTATATTTTATTTCCACTGATTAAATAATACGTTATCAGTAAAATATATTGAGGCAATGCTTTATGTCCATGTAATGACCTCTCTGTCAGCAATCTTATCCAACATTTTTCCTGTTTTAATGGCATACAGTGTAAAAATGGAGCATACTTATGGATGTTTCCTTATTCTTCTATTGGAAGATAACTACAGTGTGAAGTCAGTTCATTCAATTCTAATTTTTTTCTCTCATGTATTGATCTAGCAAATTCTGTGAACACAAATCCCTGCAGTAACAGACTGCTGTGCATTGGGTCCTGGGACATTTAATATATGCTAATGATGTAGTTATGTTTACTATTTATTTACTTGCAATTTGCAGGTTCCTATTTCAGCAGTCAGGTCAATTTGCTGATATTGAAAAAAAGTACAGTTTCTTACAGCAAGAAGCTGAAAAATTCCTGGACGTGGAAAATAAAGTTAACTTAATTTCTGAAAAGGTAATCATTACATCTTAATTAGATAATCTCTGGTGGACATTTGCTGTTGTTTTACTTTGTCACTTTTAACTGATGGTTTTAAAATCTCATAATGTGTTCTACTTGCATGTGAATAGGCCTTTGGAGAGTATTTTGTATGACTAAACGTGTCAATCCATACTGTTGTTCAAGTATGTGAATACAGTGGTTATATCTCAGTATTATTTTTTTAGACATTAAACTATGTTTGAAAACTTACATTTATGCACATACTTAATTCTACCAGTACTGTTCTGTGTATAACTCTAATATACATTGATTTGAAGAAAATTTACAGGCATTTTTGTGTAGTAGACCTGTTATAATAATATGAAAGACTTAATAAAGGGATGGATAGTAATATTTTTTTCATTTGTATTTTGTTTTCTTATCTGTGTGACATCAAGTAGAAAACCTGAGCTGGCTGCCAAATTATCTCCTATATCTTACAGATAATGATGGGAGTACAGCACGGTTTATGCCAGTGATGTTTTAGCACTGATCTCATAATGATATCACTTAAACATGATGTAATTTGGATATTTATATACTACACTTCAAATTGCAAAACGTTGCATGGGATTTATGTAATGTGATATATTTTACAAAAAACTCCCCCAAAACCAAAACAAATCCCCAAAAAAACACCATGGAAAATAAGGGATTGACAGCAAAGAAAATGGCACGTGTGATACAGAAATTCAACAACAAACATACCCTTTTCTGTGGCTTTTTCATGCTAGATTAATCAACAATATTTTAAAGATGGAATATGAAAACAAATCTCATAGGAGATTTGTAACGAGTAAAGTGGCTTCTAAAGGACTTTATCCTCTGTTAAATAAACGCAGATGGTTTTCTATTCTTACTTTCATTAAGTAGACATGGACGTTGTTTTGTGTTATAAATGCAGCTTGAGTCTACTGAAAGTATCCTACGAGAAGCTGCCTCGTCCATCTCTGTGATGACTGAGTTTGAGCAGGACATATCTTCTCTTCATAACATCATAAATGATATTCAGAACAATGAACAGACTCTCTCTATAAAGATGCAGAGCATTAATGAGAAGTTCCAAAATGTTACGAATTCCTGGAGAAGAAGCTTGGATGAAATGAACACAAACACTAGTGGTTTAAAATCTGAGGCAAAGTTCATACATACAGAAGTGACTTCCCAAATCAATGAAGCTGACCAAAGAATTAAATCCCTTTCAGAAAGAGTAAGAGATTTGGAAGACAGTACAGCCAGAAATATTAGAACACTGAAAAGACAAGAAGATGATGAATTCTCTAGAGTTGAACAAAAGTTGGACTTACATGCAAAGGCAGTTGAAAAGCTAGAAGAACAACAGAATAGTCTGGTAGCCAAGGACACAGACCTGAATCAGAAACTTGGGAACTATGAACCAAAAATTGAGGAGTGCAAGACCCATTTGCCAACAATTGAAAATGCTATTCACTCTATTCTTAGATTATCAAGTGAATTGCTAAGTATGGAGAAAAAGATAGAGGCCTTGACAACACAGCTATATACTGTGGAAAACGATATGTTGAAAACTGTTTCTGATACAATGGCGATGCGAAAGGTTCTTGAAGGCATAGAGTACAACAGCAGCATATTGGAAGTGCCAAATGAAATAGTTTTAGAAGAAATAGTGCATGACATAGAAGTATCTTCGAAAGCAAAAGAAATAACTTTAGAAAGCTATAACTTAGAAAATGATCAGAATGGGAATAAATGAATTTGGACATAGGGCTTTCATTGATGAAAGAGCACTTTACTTATAAATAATGTCACTCCAACATAAGTTAAGGGTAGTTGAAATATTGTCATTAATCTAGATAGGCATTGGATCAGATTGAAGGGCAAACTAGAGAGCAATAAATACTGTGTTGAAGGAGGAAAGGAGTATTTTCTTAAAGTGAGGATTGTTTTCACATTATCTATTAAAAGTTAATTTTTATTAAAAAGCAATTCAAAGCAAAGTATTTAGATGATAGGAAAAGTCAAAACCAGAGACATCCGATTACAATTTACATTTAGTTTTCACTACTTAGTTTTTTATGTTGTTACTTTTTATATTATATTCCATGGACTTGTAAGACAATGAACAATTAAGTTATTATCTCTAGGCAGATACAGATGATGTACTTTGCCTTAATGTATCATATACCATAATGTTTTTGTGCTTATGGTATAGACTTCTCAATGTCCGAGTTGTTACTGGGACCTACATATTTTATGTATTATGCACAAAGTACATTTTTAACAGCTGTAGCTTAGCTGCAATGCTATATGTAGTAGAAAACACTAGTAAAGCACCCCTTACTGAGAACCTTCTCTTGTACTGGTATTTATAAGCAGAGGGTTACATAGCAGCTGGTGTTATCTTTTATTTCTTTGACCCCATGCAAATAGCTGCCTTAGACCTCATTTCTAGCATTTTGAAACTTCCAGGAATCACTGGCATAGTTTTGTTCTGCTATTGAATTCACTAGACTACATATAGACTGAAGTTCTTACTAACAGATATTCCTCTTAGATTCTTCTTCCATCATTTAATTTGTATGTTTGGTGTGATCAGTCACTGCATTAATTGTTGATTTGGTGTTTGTTTTGGTTTTCTTTTGTTTGTTTGTTTGTTGGGTTTTTTTTTTGTGGTTTTGGTGCTGTTAGAAACAAGTTTTAATCTTTTGTAGAATGTTTTCTTTTGTAGAATGTTAGGCATTACATGATTTCTTTTGTAGAATGTTAGGCATTACATGATATGTGTGGTATTGCTTTGCATTTCAAAGGGAAAAAAATGGTGTCACTGACATTGTTTCCCAAAGTTTGGTGAACCAAGAGCTGCAAAAGCATTTAATGAAAGCTATGGAGTTATATACTTGGTTCTAACAGATCTCCTTACACAGGGCGTATTACTAATAAGCCTGGTAGCTGTTCATTAAAATTTGGAATTTTGGAAGCACTATAAATTTGTGTCTACAGACTTGTCTTGATAATTTCAGATTCCTGATTTCAGAACCCAGGAAAGGAGATTGCTTAGTAGGCATTATGAACCCACAACATTTAAGCCTGATTAAGTCATAAATTAAATTATTCTGGTTTTGTACATTCATTTATCTAGAACTCTATTGAAATCTTCACTGAACAGTTAATGCTGCCCATTGAAGAGACCATTAAACCAGCATTTCCCAGTGTAAAGGTTTTATCAGTTTCACATATTTACTACTTATGTATAGATTTGTATCTGTTTACAGTCATATTCAGTAAAAATATATCATAGTGGATTGCCCCGTCTTGATGCATAATCTAATTCAAAATAAATTGCTCTTCCAGAAAGGGTATGGAATAAATACTTTAATGTTCAGAGCTCCATTAAGAAATACTATTTTATATGGAAATGTTCTGTAACTATTCTTCACAAGTGTGTTCCAGTGTGTCTACTTCATGTAGTTTTGGGAAGGGTGGCTAAATTACCAATAGTATGCTCCCCCATTTAATGTCTTAAATCAACCTTGGCCCTATTGAAAGCAGAATGTACATGAGCTTGAACAGGAAATCCTCACCCTTAGAGGGCATTAACTAGGAAACCAGCGCAACTCTCCACAACCTAAATTTTGGTATTTTGTTTTTAAGCAAACAGTTCTGTGCCAGAGAGGAATAACCAACACTATCAAAAAGTTTAAAAAGATTTGTTTCTTTGGTGATTTTTTTACTACTAATATCAATAAATGGATTAGTATGGAACTAATTGTAGCCTCTTAGAATGTGTTTCATTCCTTGCCTGTTTCTCTTCAAGTTCTACACTGACTTACTGGTGGTTGAACAGGATAGTATCACTTGGGTATTTTCCTTTCTTCCTCTCAAATTTGAAAACCAAGAGCCAGTGATTAAGAAACAAAAAAATAAGTGAACTAGAAAATTCAGCCAAAAATCCAACAGTAGCATTCGTGTTCCCTCATTAAAATGTTTTTTTATGAAGGCAAGCTGCTTAATGTTTTGCCTGTGAAATACTTTGGTGGCTATTTAAACAAAAGAGAACCATGCCCAATTCCTTTGGCTTTTTCTTCCGTTGAACACCATGTTCAAAATACATATTATGATTACAAAAAATCAGTTAATTATGAGACATGATTTTTGGATAAGAGAATTTTAAAGTAGGGATTTTTCTAAAATGTTTCTAAATATCTTTCTACATGTATGTTTCTGGATCATCCAGGTTAGAGGCTTAATACAAAAATTTCTCTAAATCACAAAAAGATTAGATTTGGAAAGTCACATAGCACCTTCCTGTAATTTTTGTTGTAGAAAACAGTAGCAACACTTGAACTTTTTATGTATACTGAAAGGAAAAAAATGAAATTTTTGGTTCTGTTGCAAGAGAAGTCTATTTCTTAAAGACAGGGTTTAGACTCAATATTGGAATAGTAAGATGTTTCATTAGTGTGTAGCTTTAATTTTGATGTGAGTTGTTAAGCTAGAAATCTTGTCAAATATTTTTATTTGTATCTCTCTAGTGTGAAAAGGCTTGGAACTTAATGGAACAGCTGGAAGATCTTCAAATAATTTCTCACATTAAACATCTTCAGGAAGATATTTATACAATGAAAACATGGTCTAGCAGCATAATTAAAAAACAGGAAGAACTGCAGAAGAATTTAACAACTCTTTTTCAGGCAGTTTCAAGTGTTGAACAGAATGCAGCTTCTGTAGCAAAAAACATAACTTTGATGATTGTGACAGTAAAAACTGACATAAGGCGCATTTCAGGTCTAGTCTCAGATATGACTGCACTGACAGATTCTTTGCAAACACTAGAAGATAAAGTAGAAAAAGGTGAAAAGAAGACTGTAAAAAATATAGGTGATCTGCTTACCAGTAGCATTGACCGAAGTACAAAACTACAAAGCTTGGCATCCAGTAATGGAAGAAGAATCGAGCATATTAAGACAGCATTATCTGAGTTAAGGAGTGATTTTAACAAGCATTCAGATAGACTCCTGAATCTTGAAGGTGACAGAGCAAAAGTTCTGAAGACGGTTACATTTGCAAATGATTTAAAACCCAAGATGTACAAACTTAGGAAGGATTTTGCCATCTTGGAGCCATTAATAAATGACCTGACACTAAGAATAGGAAGACTGGTGGAGGATGTATTACGACGGGAGAAGGAAATTGCTTTACTGAATGAGAAACTGGCCAATCTAACAAGAGTTCAAACAGAGATCAAAGATATGAAAGATGAAATAACCAAGATTTCAGACATGAATTGATCACTGTGAAGTGCTACTGCCTAAACTATAGTAGTGTTTGAGGAGTGTTAACTCTATCACATGTAGTACTAAGAAGAAAGACAATATTTAAAGGCTTCAGTTAGAAGCACACCAAAACTTAACTAGAGATTTGTCCTCTTCCTTTGAAAAGGAGAGAAGAAATTCACGCTGAATTCAAGGGGCAAGCTGTAATGTGAGAAAAAAACAATGTCTCTGTGCATGTATTTATTTTTCTGAAAGATGACAGATGCTATATTTGATAAATTGCTTGTTTTGTACAATAAAACAGTGTTAAAGTATGAAATGTTAGTTTTACCTTTAGAGTTTGCTTTTTTGAAGAAAGCAGGACCCAAGACTAACAGATCTTCAGCTTTCCTTTCTTGCTCTAAAGGAAGGAATAAAACTGTGGTTTCCAGATAGAGTTAAACAAGGGTTAGTCAAACTGTAGTGGCAATTTAATGTCTCAGTATATTCACTCTATGATTTTTGTCAACTGTGGCACTTCCATTTTTATTTTTTTTTTAATAATCAATATTTAGAGAAGTAAAAGCAAGCGAAGCAAGCATTGCCCATAAGTATCGCTGATGCCTTTGCAAAAAGTTTGTCACACATAGATGGAATAATTTGTATTAAGGTTTTGTGTGAGGCTTTATAATTGTAAATCATAATTACTGTGCAACACTGTTGGGTCTTTAAAACACAGAATTCTATATGGAGACGATGCTTTGAAAGACCTACTAACCCTACTGATGACGTTCTCCCAGTGCATGGTATCTGTTCAGGAATCCGAACAGTGTTACCCATTCATTGTGTCTTAATATGTAAAATACTCATGAGCAGCAGAATTAGCAAAGAGAAGCTACTTAGGTCCCAAAAGGTTAGACCAATATGAGCTACTGGCAGTATTTTGGTGGTGGAGATTAAGAGTTTAAGAGATCTGAGACATCTGAAAATGCGGTAGGTGGTAGACTGAAATAACAAGATAATGGGAATTGGTTTAGCAGAGGAAAGGGAGAAAAGTACATTAACTAGGAATAAAAATTACTAGAAAAAAAAAAGCAATTAGGAGAGATACAGCAATTCAGAAAATCCCTATAAATGAAATTGTATTGAGAAGTATAAGCATACAGTAAGGCCTTTATAACTTCTCAATTGTTTAGTTGGTCGTACCTGAACATCTTCCAGCTGCTAGTCTTTTAATTGCATGGAAGATACAACCTTTCCTCTCCCTCCCTATTCTCATTCAGCATTCCATGTCTTTTGGCCTGCTTGATAATGTTGGTTTTCCATACTTTGCTTGCTTCCTTCCCCTCAACCTCAAACGTGTAATTTAATCAAGTTTTCCTCTTTTTGATATAGGTCTATTCCTACATCCCAATTTTCTTTTACCCCTTTCCAGTCCACCTGACAGACCACAAGGATAAACCTGTCAAAAGACAAGTTTTCCTAGGAAGCATCCACAGGTACTATTTAACAGCCAGTATGTCTTTGCTCTTTCACACAACTCTTAAGCAAGCCCCTGAAAATACCCAAATGGCATTTAAAAAAGATAGAACAATGAAAGAGCGTCCAGAATGACCAGCCATGCTAAAGCATGCATTGCGATATTCACTGATTCCACCAATCTCGGGGGTTTTTTGTGTGTGTGTGTGTGTGTGCGCGTGTGTGCAAGCTGGTGTCAGTCCTGTCAAGGAGAGCACTTGGCACAATAGCCATGGCCACAGCAGTGTGAGAAATCTTCCCTATGCATCTTCCACTATGGTGTGTACGATGCAGTTAACAGTGGATTAATTGCATCATGGACTATAGTAATCTTATTTATTTTCAACATTATGAATTAATTATTTATGGTCAGTAGCCAGTAAAAATCTGGAAAGGCAGAACTGGAGAACCAGTAGAGCACTATCTACCCAAGTGAAGAGAAGTAGAAAACCTGTTCCAGCTAAACAGTTAATCAGAGAAGTCTTGACACAGCAAAGAGGTCTTTCTGGATGAAAAGAGCACACTCTCTCTTTGGAACAGTAATTGGAAAATAAACCAGGATAAACAACTGTTGATTTCACTTTCAATCCCCAAATGACTAACCTCCACATCTTAGAACGCATCTACCAGTGAGAAGCCAAGTGTACAGCCCTGTTCATGGTCTCCATGGGAAGTTAAGTGTGAAAAAAATGTTACAGAACCATGAATTTATCTATAAATGTCTGCAGATCGGCCATGCTTCCTTCCCAGGGAAGCGCAGGTCTAAAGCATTAGTATCCTTTCAGAAACTTTGTTGCTACAAGCAAGAGAGAGAAAAAATTTCAAGTCACGGAAGTAAGGTGTACTTGAAGAAAGTAAAAAATAAAAAAATCCGAATCTAAAGTTTACACACCCAGTGTATTGTGCTCAGAAGGAAGGCGAGTGGTAATTCTCCCATAATCTGCACAGGTATTACAAATCTTCATTTGCCCTTCAAGCACACACCTACACTGTACTAAAAATTAAATGAAAGCTTTAGAGTAGCTTTGTAATAACACTGGTCTAAGGACAAGGCAAAGCTCTTTCTACAGTGAAAAAGATGATGCAAAGAGTGAGGTATTTTTCATAAATTTAAAGCAGGCTACTAATCTTGCCTTCTTGGTTTAGTACTGTCAGTGGTGGGGAGACTCTCAGCTCTGTAAAAGTACCACCCCTTAGTTAATTTCTACGGGCATTCGATACTCGCTACAATTTTATTAAGTGATTGAGAGACTCAGGTAATAATGAAAATTACAGCTATGTTACTTAAAATATATCATCCCATGGAGCCCAACCGGTAGCAATACTCTGGACATCTTTGCTTTTAACTTGGTATGCAGGTGCAGAACTGGCCAATTACATTCTTGCCAGCAACTCACAAAGTAAAAAAAAAAAACAACCAACCAACCAAACAAACAAAAAAAACACAAATAAACCCAAAAAACACCACCACCAAAACATCAGCTCAGCCGAGAAGTTTCTGCTAGCGACACCCTTCTCCCAGATCAGTCACAAAACTCGTATTCTGTAACAAGGACGTGTAACTGCTAAGCTCAGCTACCCAAG